TATCTATCTATCTATCTATCTATCTATCTATCTATCTATCTATCTATCTCTATCTCTCTATCTTCCTGGCAAATTCCCCAATATAGGCATGGTTCCTAGCCATGCATTTGAGCCACAAACATGATATATACTACAAGACATCTCTATGATCTTATGTTAGCAAACAATTCCCTTCCCTTCCAAAGGCTGTGCCTGGAAATGATCATGATCCCATGAGCCGAAAGTAGGTGTTAGTAAGTCATTTGTGGTTCCAATCTCACCCGTGGAAGCGCCCAGGGCAAGGGCCTTGGCAATGTGTCCAACCGTCTGGATGCCTCCATCAGCAATCACTGGCACACCAAATCTTCGAGCATACTCGGACACTTTGTAGACGGCTGTGGCTTGGGGCCTGCCACACGCTAAGACTAAACGGGACAGATGAAGACGACAAGAAGCAAAAGAAGTAGTCGACGTTACTCTACGGCAGAACTCCTAACATGTAAGGGTCCTCAAAGTGCATGGCATTTTCAGCATGAGACACCTCCCTCCCCCCCACAAAAGCAAATCTATTTTCAGAAAAGGCATCCTTTTCAGCCATTTCTTCCCAGAGTGTATCGAGGGAGTTGCATATCTTTCCAATTGTGGCAAACCTCAGAGGGGATTTCCCCCCACCAGAGGCATATATATAAATCCATGCAAGTCTGATGATTAGTAGTTGGTTCCAGTCAACCTACTTGCGGGTACCATTCTCCAGCCACAGTAACAGTCATTATCTGTAATAAAAACTTGGTGTTTACTGGCTGATCAGAATCCAGCATCTCGCACTGAAGTTTTCATCAAGCTACTGTGTTTCCCTGAAAATAAGACCCAGTCTTTTGTTTTTGCCTCCCAAAGAGGCAAAAACAAAAGACTGGGGTGGGGGGTCTTTTCCACTGTCTCACCTCACAGCGGTGGCACTGACTGCCCCGGCCAACAGGAGCCCATGTGGCTGCTGCCGGCCCACTTCTTCTGCGGGCACTTGCCGCTGCTCGCGCATGGCACACCCCACCCTCCATTTTGGCAGGGGTCGGAGTGGAGTGTGGGAGGCCTGCCTGCAACTGTCCTAAGGTAAGCGGGTGCGGGGCACGAGGGGGCAGCTCTCCCCCTTCCCCACCTTAGCTTGATTTTTACCCGTGCGCCTCATCCCACCTCATGCAATCAGGTGCAACGGCCTGGGCGGGGTCTTAACTAGGGCTTATTTTGGAGGTACGGCTTATACTGGGTGCATATATAAAAATCAATATAGGTCTTATTTTCTAGATAGATCTTATTTTCAGGGAAACACGGTAGCTACCCCTCCAACACAGGGTGACTGAAACCAAAGCAAAATGTCATCAGTCGGGAAGAGAAACAAATATATCTCCAAAATATATCAGCCAGGGCTCTTTTATGCTTTGCATCAAATTGTGTGGCCTAGACTTGTAATTGATAGCCAAGGCCATGCACAGAGATTGGCATCAATGACAACCCTCCCTCCCACTAAATAGGACAATTCTCCCCAATGGGCTTTTAATTCAAAAGTCTTTTTCACCATTAGTTAGAGCAGTGATTCGGATTCGTTCAGAACCGTGCAAAATTAGAGCACAAACTTCCCGTTAAATGCAGAGTTTCGGTACCGTCGGCACTGCCAAAGTCAACTCAGTGCTTCTCCAAGAAACTGGTTCCCACGCAAATCACTTTCGCGCCAACTCAGCTGTTGTGTTTCCTTTCAATTGCTAGGACAGTGGTCGCGAACCTATGGCATGCATGCCAGAAGTAGCACTCAGAGCCCTCACTGTGGGCATGCGCGCCGTCACCCCAGGTCAGCTCTACCGTCTTTCTCCATGGCGTTTCCCGCCATTGTTTGCAGGGAAACAGAAGCTCGTGAAAGAAAAAGATCTTGCCTCTTGTAGAGCTGCCGGTGTTGGAAGGCCCCACCTCCCGCCAGCCAGCTGGTCTTTAGGTCGCTACTGCGCATGCGCGGGCCAGAGAGAGAGAGAGAGACTTGCAGTTTGGGCACTCGTTCTCTAAAAGGTTCGCCATCACTGTTCTAGGGCCATGTAGAGGCAACCCCACCAGTTTGAATGTATCTAACAGCAACTGCATTGAACTGGAATTCAAATCAACCATGAAATGGGCTGCCAGCGAAATCAAAACAGCGTTAGTCCTAAAGAGATGGTCTCGTGTCTGCAAAGAAAAACATCGAAGCTAAAACAAAATTTTTAAAGAAAAAGGATTTTTTCTATGTTAAGAACTTTAAAACCTATCAAGCGATGTGCACAAACCCACACTTCAAAAATGGTTTGGAAAAATTGCTTCGGGCCTTGCTCGAGTTCAGCGCACGTCTGCTATTCTTTAAACTTTGTTCAAGCTTCCACACGAAAAATGACCCAGCTGCTTGAATAAATAGCAGAGAGACATCAGGTCAGGCAAGGGCCAAAACAGTTTTTTTTCCAAATAATTTTTAAAGCATGCAGTTATGCTCTAAAATAGAAAAGCAATCTCCGAATAGCTGAGTTTTGCAAGCTGATGTCTATGCAATTGTACACTGAGACCAACCCTTTAAAGATTAGCATTTGGTGCCATGGAGTGAGAGAATTCAGTTCTCAGCTTCACGATTTCACACAGGTGGCATTGGGTTCAAAGCAGGGTTTGAAATTTGCTAGAGTAATTTGATATGAAATTGTTTTAACCATTTACATTTCCAAAAATAAGAGATACAAAATAGGTAGATGTAGTCTTTTATTGAACGTAATTGTCTAAAAGGCCACAATGATCTCCTTTAAACGTGAGGTACAGTAATATGTAAATAGAACTTTGCTTAATTGGGAAAACAATGGCTTAAACACAACATTATTGTGTTCTTGGGTCTACACTCAAACCCTTGCTGGACATTTAGCCATTTTAATAATGGGTGTGCAGATGTTTCATCCCATAACATTCCAATCCTGTAAGAGGGCTGCTCCAGCTGTTCTGGAAGTAGTCCATTTATAATGGCCTGTTTTAATTTCGACATCTCCAAAACACTGGTAACAGCCATGCCAAGATGGTAATAGTTTATTTGGGGTCAGAATTTTTAAGAATATCTAAGGATGGAAGCACTTTCTGACACCAAGCAAGGTACTGCTACCCAAGTGGCCCCCCTTGGTTAGACTGGCAGTGATTTGCCAGGAATTCAGGAAAAATATTTTCCCCACACTCTCATAACATTTAGGCCTATTCACAGATCGTGCTGAACCATAAAGTAATTAAGTGGCAAACATGTTATGCGTCATTCACATGGCCTTCAGTTTCTCCCGAGAAAGGGTGACTGGACCAGATTCACCCACCCACCTTTCATGCCTAAAACGAGACTAGAACTCACAATCTCCTGGTTTACTAGGCCAGGACCTTGACCATTACACCAAACTGGCTCTCCAGTTTGAATAATGAATAATGAACAATTATTATTGTAGAATGTAATGCTATGTCTCTGAAGCACAACTGAGGTACTGCTACCCAAGTCACCCCCTTGGTTGTCCAATAGAGACTGGCAGGGATTTGCCAGGAATTCAGGAAAAATATTGTTTCCCACTCTCATAACATTTAGGACTATCCACAGATCGTGCTGAACGATAAAGTAATTTAAGTGGCAAACATCTTATGCACATGTCATTCACACGGCCTTCAGTTTCTTCTGCGCAAGCTTTTGCACATCCCAGTTTGTGGTTTGGCAATGATTAAATATGTCATCTGAACCCAAGATGATAGTCCGTATAATGTAAAACGAATGTTTCAAACCAGAACAACTCATGATTTGTGGCACGCTTCCTGTATTCCCATTTAACCATTGTCAAAGCATGGCTAGAGGTTTGGAACCTGTCTCTCCACCCATTCGAAGGATGAGCCGATGGCCCTTCACATGCAGAACACATTAACTCAGTTTAAATCAGCGGTTTCATAAATAAGTATAATATGTGCACATAATTTAATGGGAGATGGTTGAGTCATACTTTGAATTTGTGGGATCTTTAGATACTATTAAGTAGAGTTTTGAAGTATTGAGGGGGGGGAATGTAGTACCTGCCTGCAATTTGTTAAACCAAACACATCTCAATTGGCTTAATATAAATCTGACATTAAATTCAAAACTAAAAAAATACAGTGCCAAGTTAAAAAAACCAACCCAACTGCACCAATTTTACATCACAAGAATCTACAACGTTAAAAAACAACTAAACAAGAGGAAGATGCATAATTCAGCAATTTGAGAGTTCTTCCCTCCTTGAATTATTTCCACAATACTAGCATTCTTCAGAGTAGATTTTGGAAATCTACCCCGAAGAATGCTACTATTGTGGAAATAATTCAAGGAGGGAAGAACGTTTCCAAAATCGGAAAAAAAATATGATGCCAGGGTTTAAAAGAAGCCATAATTTTAGCTGTCATCACTCAAACAACGTCACAATCTTTCTACATGTTTTTTTTTAAATCTACAAACAGCCTGGGGAACTCTGGGAATTGAAGTCCACACATGTTCCAAGTGGACTAGATTTTTATTTAGAAAAATTACATGAGTTAGTAGAGTCACTCAAGTTTGTCAATCAGAAGAAAAATGCCATATTTATCTGGGGAATATCTAGCAAACAGCTATCTCAGACAAAGGTTCAGGAAGCCTTGGAGAAACAAGCGATTTACTTCTTCCTTCAAGAAGTCTCTTATTGATCAATAAGAAACATCTATGAGGTGATACAGTTCCACAGCAAAATATGCTGATACCTTCTTTCACACTGGAAAATAATTTCTTCCAGGAAAAAGTATCCTGAATGGGCAACACAAATTACCGTATTTTTCGGACTAAAAAAACGGTGTATAAGACGCACCAAGATTTAGAAAAGGTAAATAAGGACAAAAAAAAGGTTTTCTCCTCTATGGCCCCCAGAAGCACACTGCAGGCTTCAGCAGGGCTGGGGGAAGGCAAAAACACCCATTTTTCACCAAAACGGGGGCATTTTTCCCTTCCCCCAACCCTGCTGAAGACTGCAGAGTGCGTGGGGGGGAGGCAAAAACAGCCCAAAAATGGGATGCGGGGGTGGGGCTTCGGGAAGTAAAAAATGGCTGTATTCAGTGTATAAGATGCACCAACATTTCCACGCTCTTTGTGGGGGGGAGGAAGGTGCGTCTTATACTCCATTTCAAATCCTGAAGACACTGCCTACAAAGGATTACTTAACTGAATAAGTGCTCACTTTAAATTACACAGGTAGAGATTTAATTAAAACATTTAAATCGCGTGCCATAAGCGGGGGAAGCACAGGTGGGTCATGAGCTGGCGTGCCGCACCCATAATGCAATGCGCGACACACACACACCCAGCAAGCATGCGCGCATGATAGGCACTTCCCCCCATTTTTTGCATGCTTTTTTTGCCCTCCCTAGGCTCCAGAGGCTTTATATAAGCCTGGGGAGGGCGAAAACTGCGTCCCCACCCCCTGCAGGGCCTCTGGAGGCTTCCCTGAAGCCTCCAGGGGGTAGAAAATGACCCTACAAGCAAACCAGAAGTGACTTCTGGGTTGGTTGTAGGGCTGATTTTAGCCCTCCGGAGCATTCAGGAGCCCTCGGGATGCTTCCCTGAAGGCTCTGGAAGACAAAAAACAAAGTGACTTCCGGTTTGCTCATAGGGTCGTTTTTTGCCCTCCGGAGTCTTCAATGCCTCACGTGCCCTGACAAATGGCTCCACACGCCACCTGTGGCATGCGTGCCATAGGTTCTCCATCCTGGGCCTAGAGCAATCATTCATCAGAGTACAAATACCCTTCATGGCAGGCGTAAAACACCACCTGTATAGCTCTAAAAGAAATGGGATCCCTTTTTCCCTTTGGAACTGGCCTGCATTAACATAATATGTATCCAATAATCCTAACAATATGTCCCTAAATCACATTTTAAACCTAAACCTTAGTAGTTGAAGAATTTAGACCAACTCATATTATAGCCAAATTTAACATCTGAAAGAGAAAGCACATTACCTATTTTGCATTTCATACAATGAAAATTTAACCAATTTAACTTTTGGTGTTACAGAGATTCAAATTATAGCTTAATGGTGTGCAAGTAATTACAGAATTTGGGTCTATAAAGAAGAAAAGGAAGAGAGGAAAAAAGGAGCCTTTTAAAATTTCAGTTAAAATTTCAGATTTGAGGAAGGAAAACCTTCATTTGATAGCAACAACATTAGAACCCTGCTTTTGGGAAAAACTCAGAAGACAACAACACAACAACAACTCAGTTTTAACACCCCAGTGTCCAAAGCCGTAAGACCTCAAGTGTGTCTCTAACCAGATTATGCTCAAACAAGCAGAAGGGTAGGAGGAGATAATGGGCAGCCAATCAGAGCCGTCCTCCAAGCCACGGAATTAAGGGGCAGGGAAGGGGGCAATGACTTACTATAGGTGCCAGTGACCGCGGAAGGGCATTTGGGGCTGTGGGACTTTAGGTCTGGAGGGACCTTTGGAACAGCTGAACAAGACAAAAACACACACAGTTTAGAGATAAAAAGAGGGAGGAACAAGCAAATACTCTCCTGAACAGTGAAACTGGGCAGCCAGGCCACACTCCAATCCCTGCAGGAAGCGGGTGGGGGGGGGAGGAAACGCCTCCAGCTATGAAACTGCCCTGGCTTTAAGAACCCACAAGCCTCTCTTTGTTGTTTCTGATGCTGATTCGACACACAACTGCAACATGTTCACGGGCTCTTCTGACCTCGGTTGCTCAAGAGTAATATCTCGGCCACTCCGCTCAGAATTTGGGACAGATCAAAAGGGATCTAATCACCCACTAGACTACACCGCGCCCCCCCCCCCGCCCACTCCCTTCCCAAAATGCTGTACATATTTTTGTCCAGCAATCCATTGGGTCGAATCAGGCTGATGGCCGTGCAACACTACTACCCTTTACCTTCTTGTGTGATGCAGATGGAGCCGCTGCCCATGCCAACCCTCAGGGCGTCAGACCCAGCGTCAATCAGGTTCTTTGCCTGGGCCGCTGTCACCACTGAGAAAAGGGAGAAAAAAAGACGTGTAAGGAAATTGGACTCCATTCACGCAGCGGCTACCGTCACTCCAACGCAAAAGACGCGGCTCCTCCTTCCAAATCAACAGGACAGTTTTGTACAAGACCGTTTTTCAGGCTGCAGGCGGTTCCTTGACTTGTGACTGCTCGCTTAACGACACATCAAAGTTATGACAGCTTCAGAAAACGTGACTTACAACCTGGGCTTTCACTTACAATTTTCGCGGCTCCTCAGCAGTTAAAAGATTGCAAATTAGGTGCCGGGCAACTGGCTTACATCTACGACTGGTTGTCACATTCCCAGCAGTCACATTATTTGTAATCTTTTTTTTTTGCCAATTTCCAGCAAAAAAACACCAACAACCACCTCTTGGGATAGTTGGATTCACTTAACAACCATGGAGATTTGCTTAACAACTGACATAAAATTGTCATAAAATCAAATCTGGCTCAACTTACAATTGCAGTGACTTACATTCCAGTTTCAGTTATGGCCTTAAGTTAAGGACTACTTGTACAGAGGAAGCCATTATATCATTAGCTGAAATTGTAGGGTGAAATTCCAATTCTTGCTGGACTGTGTTGGACAAATCTGCTCTGACCATTGAAAATTGGGATGATTGTTACTAGGACAGAGAACTGCCACAGAGCTCAGAATTTTGGTCATCAGTCATTGGGGTACGCAATTTGAGGTACCATGTGACCAAACCCAATTTTACAATGGTCATAAAATGAGTTATTGCTGTTGTAAAGCAAACCTGCATGTCCTTAAGTAAATCCATTCTTCTAGAAACTGCCCAAAAAAACCCCCCAAAACCATTGCAAATCATGATCACGTGACTGTGGGACCCTGCAACTATTTATAAATGAAACCAGTAATCTAGGACCTGAAATGTGATCACATGACCATGGAGGGGGGTAGCAGTTGTAATTTCAAGAATGGGTCGTAAGCAGTTTTTTAAAAAATCGCTTGTCACTTTGAATGGTCCGTTAAACAACTGGTTGTAAGTGTAGGACTTCCTGTACACTAATGAAGAAAAAATAGTTAATCTTTATTACAGTTATCCCTCAAGACATTGCTAATTTCTATATTTCATTGATCACATTTGAGTGATTTTAGGATATAAAGGGTATCAATGTACCTGTCTCCTCATCCATAGCAGAGTGGTGGGTTGCAGGCGGTACGCCCTAGTACAGGCGCATTGGAGCCTGCCTGGAGCACCGGATACCGTTCCGGTATGGTGCTCCAGGGGGCCCACCCACCTGCCCAAGCTCCTTACGGGTCTTTTAAGTCTTTGGTGCTTCCGCACACGGCGCATACAGTGCCTGCGCAATGCTCCACTGAGCAGCTGGAGCATTGCGGAGGCTTACGGAGTCGCTAAAATGCATGCACGCACTGCGGACATGTTTTGCGCATCCATGAGGGCGTCGCCGGACCCGGAACCCACCACTGCCATAGCACATTTTATGAACTCAGCCAAATGTTCATCAAACACATACCAGCTGCATTACAAACCAAAGCTGAATAGTTACCATTGCCTCCAATGACTTGCAGATGAGGATATTTCTCCTTGATGTATTTGATCATGTTGATTTGAAAAATGGAGTTGCCCTGAGATGAATCCTAAGAAGAAAAAGAAGATTCCTGTACTGCTCTTTAAAAAAAAAAATTAAAACCATTTGAGTTGGAATCTAACATTCTGTACAAGTACTTGCCAAATTCTTCTTTCCATCTACTCGTTAGTACTGAATTTAAACGGAAGCAACTCAGCATAAGAGCTAATTGAATCGATCAGCAACTTTCAACAATACGAACCCTAATCCCTCAGAACAGCTACAACAATTACAATTTCACCTAATTATCAAAGCTTGTCTAGCATGAAGTTCAGCCATTATCTCCCTTGCTACTCTTCATGGGAACTCCCATTGTCTCCAAGACTTACCAATACAATGACATCAACTCCAGCTTGTGCCAGCAGATCAAGACGGTACCTATCGTCTTCATGAGTCCCAATGGCTGCCCCACAGAGCAACTGTTTTTTGGCATCCTTTGATGCCAGAGGATAGTCCCGATTCTTCTTCAGATCTGTGCGAGCAATTATGGCCACCAACTCTCCCTTTTCATTAACAATTGGCAATTTTCCTTGAAATTAAAAAAAAAAAACAAAAACTGTGCTGTTATTTCCGAGGAACAATTTTGGCTCCCCCCCCGTCTTTATTATATAGATGGAAAACTCCAGTTCCCTTTTCAGTTTAATTGGCTATATTAGCATTTTTGATAACATGGCAACTAAAGTTACACAGCCTAGTACCTTCATTAAATTGAATTCCAAAGCACCTGATACCTAATTCAGCTAAGGCTACAGAAGATGAATAATTAAATAAGGGGAGGGGGAGAGAGAAAATAGGATATCTATTGGAAGCTGAGGTTCAGAATGTTTCTTTTTCTTTATAATAGTATTCATAGGTGCAGTGCAACAACACCATTTATTCAATATGTTTTTGTTTTATTTTCATCTACAAGAACTCAACTGTTACGGCTTAAATTGGGAAAAAATCATGATGCCTTATTCAAATCTGGCTTAGCCAAAAGTATCAACCTATTAAAAGTGAGGATTT